GGTCGAAAGTATTGTACAATCGGACGACAGGTAATTTCTTACGCTAAGATAAATAAAAAAATTACAAATTACTAAGATCAAAGAACCCCAAAGATCAAATTTAATTAGATCGATTAAGAATTTATCGTATCGATCATTGGTGTGTGAATAACTAGGAAAGTAGAACCCACGTAACTTTCTTTCATCGCGTCTTGAACACGGAATTCCCTGTTTAGAATGTTTCCTACTCTCCCTTATCAGTGAAAAATGAATCATTGCCGATACAACTCTGTTCTTCATGGTTATCGCGAACCTTCTTTTATTTACCAATAGACAATCGATACACAGCGATGTGTTGGAAGTAGTAACGACATGCTGCTCGAAAGACGACGTAATTAATAACGTAGACGGTAGTTGTTTGTTGTTTTAGACTTAGGAGAAAAAGAATACGCCGATGCACACACACACACACACACACGCGCAAGATAGTTTCATTGATTGATGCGGTTGTGTTTGGTTAGTCGAAGATTATAAAACCAGAGAGTCTCAGACTGACGGTGGAATTCTCTTGGTGTAGTTTTATCGTGAGAATTGTTCTCTCGGTAGTTAAATATCGCCTGTTTCTTGTCGCTTTACGTACGGTCGCAACTTGTTAAAACTCTCCCTCTTCCAGTGTTGTTACACGCTTTATACTTTAACGTGCTTTCCCCAAATGCGACCTCTCGCCTAAATTGCGGCCGTTTCTCAGAAGTATGCGCGTGCATACACGCGTTTCCATAAAACTGTGAAGAGATGCTCTTGAGAGTGGCTAGAACGCTGATGCTGAGTGTTATGGCTAAAAGCACACTTATAGTTCTTTGGTCTGAGCCTGGATTACGTGTGTTTCATAATATCGCGAAAGTGGAATATTGACGAAATGAATGAAAAATTATGAATTTTCCAATTGTTTCTTACACCAAGAAATATTCGTTGACTCGAAATATACAAAAAAACTAGAAACTCACCGTCAGTGCAATCAGAATAAACAAATTAACATTCTCGTATGAAAAATAATTTGATAATTTTAATTTACACGTACGCTGCCACCGAAAATTGATAGCACGCTGGAGAATACACTGTGGGCCGCATATGCTGCGTCGGTGGCAGCGACCGTGTCAAATTTTCACGAATATTTCTTCTAAACCAAAAAAAAAAAAAAAATAACTTGCTATCTTTCGTCCAAGGATTTCTCGGACGAATAATTTATTTTCGTCGAAATAATACGCAACTGGTATCGAGACAAGATTATCACACAAGCGTTAACAAACGATGTGCGTCTTTCTGCGCGTTACTATTAGCGCCACGAACGCGGTCAATCATCAGCGATATTGCCAATCGTGGAGCGCTCCTCGCTTTTACGAACGTCTTCGTCTTGCACCGCGATCAAAGGCGCACGAACCATTTACCGACGACTTTCCCTTTTCAAACGATCGCGAACGCACCCGCTCGCGCGCCTTGCACGCAAAATCGTCGTGTATGCACGCGCCCCGCTAATGTAACGCCGTAAATATATTACGTTACAAGATCATACCGCAGTTTGACTTGACGAGCCACAGAAACGCTACATAGAAAGCTACGTTAGCTTTGTTGTCAAACGAATCTTCACGCACAGTTACTACTCTCATTAATATTCGGACACTTTTTGAAAGAGTATAACTTTTTCTTTTAATTTGGACCAAACGACTTGAGTTTTTTTTTTTTTTTTTTTTTTTGAAGTTAGGATTAGTATACTAGATGACGTGTACAACAAATTTTGAAAAAATTGCAATTTGTGGAAATTGCAAAGGTCAGTTTTTACAAATCTTTTATCTGTGAAAATTTCATGGAAATCGACCTTTACAATTCTCCTCGCGATTCCCACAGATTGCAAATTTTTCCAAATTTCTTTGTACACGTCATTTAGTAAATTAATGCTTCTAATTTCTCAAAAAGAAAATTCAAGTCGTTTGGTCCAATTTTTAAAATATTCTACTGTTCTAAAGAGTGTTTGAATATTGATGAACGTAACTGTATATGTTATACAATTCCAAATTTGTATTAGTTTGATAAAACAGTGTTAGAATAGAAATATAGGAAGCAATGAATCATTTTGAGTGACAAGGTGATTTCGTAAAATTTTTATTGCGACTCTGGAATCTTTTAACCCTTTTTTCCCTCTTCGAAACTTTTCCAATTTTTTTCGAACGAAGTCGAAGTGTTTTTTTTTTTGCCTGATATAAGATTCAGCACATTAATTCTATCTAATTAGCACATAAACTCCATAGAAAAAAAAAGTACAGCGTACAAGTAGTTTGTGCAGGTAGACGTGTATATATGTATATACTTATTTCTTTCAATGATAATTTAGTTTTTATCATCTGACTAGTGTGAAGTATAATTAACGAGATTCCACAAAAAAGGCTTAATTGTCATTTCGAGCTCTACGATGCAATTCTTAACGAATCATTCAATTCATTCATTAACCCATTCACTGGGTACGCTTCTCAGTCGAAAATTCAATCTCCCGAGCGTATAATTATTTCGTTTTATATTTAACCCTCCGTGGGCAATCTGGGTTGATGACCCAAGCGAAACTACTGTCTTGCAATTTCTTCGCAAAACGAATTTTCGTTTTCGATGAAGAGTGTTTTTAACGAACAATTGTGAACCCAAATGAAATTTCAATCTTGTTTTCCTTCGAAACGAATTTGTATTTTTATTGAAAAACCTTTTAAACATTTGGAGGGGCTTCGATAAGTGTTACAGAATTATTTCGTAATTTTTGAAAACTTGGGACAGTATGAAAATTAAATTTGGACATTAACGACCCAGTTTGCCTACGGATTGCGAAAAAATATGTTTGCCTAGGGAGGATTAACTCTTGGGCACTCCGCTATGGCAAGCATCATAATGTGCAATTTGCATTACAACTAAATATTGAGAGATTATTTATAAAGGTAGCGTACCATGGACAATACAGTGTAAAATTAATTTTTTTTTTTTTTTCAAAAGGAAACGGTTTTCAAAAGTTTCACTGTAAAAAGTAAAATTTGTTTTCAAGAATTTCACTGCAAAAATTAAGCTCGGTTTTGAAAAATTTCACTGCAAAGTAAACTTGGTTTTCAAGAATTTCACTGCAAAAGTAATCTTGGTTTTCAAAAATTCCACTGCAAAAGTATCCTCCAATTATCGATCAGCAGTATAAAAAAGTGCTCAGAACGCAAACTGTTAATAGATACAAAAATGATTGCCCTTAAATATAAGAAATAAATAAATAATTCCAAAAATTGGTCTTGCAAATGAAACCAAAAAAAAAAGTTCCTCGCGTATTTAGCTTATTACCATTTCCAGGCAAGAATTTCACGCAATTGATCGTACGTTACATAGCGTAATCGGTAGCTCGAAGCGAATCGCCTCTTATCGCTGAATTCTATGCATATACACTACCGGCCAAATGTTTGGAATCACTGTGCATTGCAAGTTGCACAAAAATTCCCCCCAAAAAGGCTAGCATTTATAATAATTTTCTAACGAATTTTTTATCATTCAAATCAATCGAAATGAGGTAAAGTGCTATTGACCTCCACAATATCAATTTCAAATTAATAAAGAATTAGTAGCAGATTCAATATTAATATAAATTGGCAGGAGGTTCCAAACTTTCGGCCGGTAGTGTATGACACTACCGGCCAAATGTTTGGAATCATTGTGCATTGCAAGTTGCACAAAAATTCCCCCCAAAAAGGCTAGCATTTATAATAATTTTCTAACGAATTTTTTATCATTGAAATCAATCGAAATGAGGTAAAGTGCTATTCACCTCCACAATATCAATTTCAAATTAATAAAGAATTAGTAGCAGATTCAATATTAATATAAATTGGCAGGTGATTCCAAGCTTTCGGCCGGTAGTGTACGTGTCGATATTTCAGACGATAGAGCATGTAGCGAGGAGAATCTCTAGCGGTGCAAGCACACACTCGCACGTGGAAAGCACGAGCATTTCCTTTTCCCTGGCCGGAATCAAGCTTGAATTTGACTCGTCGGCGACTGACAGAGAGTGCCGACGCGTGTTATGCAAATACGCGTCATCGTGCGCGACCAACGATTTCTTCTCGTTAAGCTGGGAAATCGTTAGCGAGCATTTCCTTGCTAATGAACAAGCGATAATCAATGCAAACAGACGCGAACAGACGATCTGTATATTTGAAACGGTCGAGTAAGGCTGAAAACTTGAATGGCGGGAAATTTGAATCGAGTTGTAGTTCGTTTATGAAAAATTTAAACGTTGTTTATTTCGACTGAATTTTTTTTCATTTCTAGCGACAATTAGATGTTACATTTCAGTGAATTCGAATTTTTAAAACAAATTCAGGTTGAATTCGCGTAAATCTATTTTGCTTTTTAATAATTTTAAAATTGTGTAATTATTCAATTACACACATGGATCGTCTGAATACGATCATATAACAGAGTTTACGTTCATCGAATCGAATTGTACTTCATTTATGACAAATTTGAGAATTATTTCGATCGACAACTTGAACGGCGGGAAATTTGAATCGAGTTGTAGTTTCGTTTATGAAAAATTTAAATTTATGAATTTTTTTTTCATTTACAGAGATAATTAAGCGTGAAATTTTGGCGAACTGGAATTTTTAAAACCAATCCCGGTTGAATTCGCGTAAATCTGTTTTGCTTTTCAACAATCTCAAAAGTGTACAATTAAATAATTACACACGTGGATCGTGAAATAATTGTACGCTCTCGTAACAGAGTTTATTCATCGAGTCGAATTATTATCGATTTCACGCTGGAGTAATCCGGCGGGGCAGAAGAAGGAATAACTAGAAAGAAAGACAGAACTTCCTTATGTAAAATCGAGAAACGTGAAACGCTATGAAATGTGATAGTTTTATTAGCATATTGAATGTTGTTACCACCGTTGCAAACTTAACGTTGATTTTCACTTCTTTATACCTTTTTCTTCTCTCCTGTTGCAGAACAAGACCAGCCAGAACCCTACTATACAGTTCCTAGGAAACGAAGGGGTAAGTGGAAATCACTTTCTATTATTTGCATACTCGCGCTCGATACGGTTGCCGCGACACGTAGAAGCTTTCTCACTTCTCTTTGGCAGCCGCCTCCGATTGTAAACCGCGGATCGATATTGTGCGAGAGATTATAAGAAGTTTATCAGCTTAGTCGTGACCAGCCGCGTAAATCAACCGTGGCCGCTTGTGTTTTCTTCGCCGGATCCGCGTTACCTCGTAAACGTGACAGAAGCGATATTATTTTTAATGCGTTCTCAGGGAGGTTATCTTGGCCATTTATATCGTTCCCGGTGTCGTAAATCGGGCGTGATAAACGGCTCCACGAGCGGAGAAGTACGATTCGACTAAATTTTCTAAGAAACTTGAAAAGGAAAATTTCTACATAGATTTTGTTGCCCTTTAAACGGGTGAAAATTGAAAGGGTTGTTTTTCGATTGAACCGACATTTTTTCAGGATTATTGTGATCTGACCGCGACAGAATTTTTAGTTTTGTATATATTGTATGTGTTGGGTTTTAGTCGACTGTTACATAAACCGTGTAAATTGATTTGTTGAAAGTTTGTAAAACACTCGAGTCCGGAGTCGAAAGTTATTCTTACTAAAACTTTGCTCTTATCCGATTTAAAGAGTTCATATTTATATGTAAGTTGGTTACAACATAAATATAATTGAGGGATAAGGATTTCGCTTTTCCAGTGGTTTGAAATTATTATACAATGTATGTTAATGGAATACTTTCAAGTAGGATGCTTCTTCTTTTTTTTTTTTTTATTAAAGGTCCCTAGAAAATCGTTGTCGCCCCGATTTACGTAATATCTGTCTGTCTGGCTAATCGAACGAGCTATAAATTCGCACATGAAATTGCCAAAAACAAACTTTCTATTCGTATGTCAACCGAGAGAGAATTTTAAAGCGGCGTTGAAGAAAGTGTGTTGGAAATTTGCTAAAATTTCTAACGGTTCATCGGGAATATTATTTAAAAAAAGTAAAGCGCCAAATTTTCTGCATATTCTTAAAATTCGCGAAATTCACAACTTTAAGAGAAATGCAAAATGATAAGATTTGCAGACATTTCTAATGATCCATCACGAATATTTTTCAAAATAAATCTTAAAGAAGCGCAAAATAATAAAATTTGCAAAAATGTCTAACGGCCCACCGCGAATATTTCTTAAAATAAAACGCGAAATTCTCTACATAGGAAAAAAAAGAAATTCACAACTTTCGAGAAATGCAAAATGATAAGATTTGCATAAATGTCAAATGATCCATCACGAATGGTATTAAAAGTAAAACGCGAAATTCTCTACGCACTTCTAAAATTTACGAAAATTTCAACCGATCCAACGAATATTTCTCAAAATGAAACGCGAAATTCTCTGCGTGGTAAAACAGAAATTCACAATCTTCGAGAAATGCAAAATAATAAAATTTGCAAAAATTTCCACCGGTCCACCGCGAATATTCTTCAGAATAAAGAGAAGCGCAAAATAATAAAATTTGCAAAAATGTCTAACGGTCCACCGCGAATACTTCTGAAAACAAAAACGCGAAATTCCTTATCCGCCGCGAAAAATCCACGAAACTCACGACCTCACAAAACGTCTGCATAATTCTTCCAAGAAGCGTCGCGCTCGCAGAATCGTGCGTGTAATCAGGCTCGTTCGGCAGACGACGAATAAAAAAGATTAGCCTCGAGCGCCAGCTGAACGGCACATGAACTTCGATTTTCCGCGAACCGTCGTTTAGCGGTGCGGCTCAGGTTTTCTCGGAAACTTTTCCGCCTCCGCAACGAGGATTCCTTCGCGACTCGTTACGAAAGAGACTCGCGTTACACGCGCCACTGGAAATTACGAGCTGTTAGGGTAGAGGCGAGGGAAAGACTATGAGCGGTGGTTATGTCGCAAGCCGGATCGATACGCGGCACATGCACAAAGAGAGAGAGAGAGAGAGAGAGATGCACGCTGATGCAGAAGTTTCGTAGGGATTGCTGGATGCACGTGAATTGGCCTTGCTGCTGGAAATTGTTTTACGGCTCGCGGTACACTGCTTGATAAAACGACGATAAGAGGATTATCGATGAACATTGGCAAGCAGACTTTCGAGGATTTTCGAGATTTGTTGTTTTTGGAAATTCTAACTTCCCGGGCGAGATAAGAGATTACGGTTTGAGGAAGATTACCTTCGGAAAATAGACTTTAGGATTCTGGCGTGAGAGATAAAGCGTTCGTTCTTGGATTGAAGATGTTTTTCAAGTGAGAGTATTTACACTTGAAATTTTACCTCTGAATTTTAGAGCCTTCCGGTGGATTGGTTGTAGTATTTGAATTGCAGGAGTATCGAGTGGTGTTATTAGAAGTTGGCGGTGTGTTAAAGATTATGTTAGATGTAAGGATTCTATTAATGGAGGTATATTAACCCTTTGAGGACGATAGACTCACACATGCGGTCACAAAACGCTATGAACGTAACCACTAAACTCATATTTTTAAGCAATAAAAATAGTCGAGGAAAATGTAATTTTGATATAATTTAACCCTTATGTCAATAACCGGGTACCCTTTTGCATAATTCTCACTTAAAATATTTCATCTTCTAGGCAAAAGATTGAAATGTCCGACCAGATCGTTGTTATTTCGCACATTTCCTATCCGTGTTTGCCTCGAGTTTACAATTTTGCTATCAGAAAACTACTAAAATTGGACGATAAAGTAGACGACAGTTGACATAAGGGTTAATTTGAGAAAAGAAAGAAAACTGAAATAATGAGCTAATTATATATTACACAAGTAATCAGTTCTTCAACATGCCACAATCCTCCGCCCGCAAAAGTTAAATGTGAATCCTCGGATGTCTCCTGATAAATTCAAGCTGAGATAAGTGCGATAAATTGTGAAATTGAAAACAAGCACGTAAAATTACAGTAGAATATCTTCGATACAACAGAACATGTCTATTTGATCATCAACTCCATTCACAACATAGCAAACGTAGCGTCATAACTAATTCGAAGTCAGCAGCATCCTGTCAGTAACGGCGGATGAAACGTGTTAATAGTTCGAACGGGGAAAAAGTCCCGAATGACGTGAATAGAAGTCCAAGGAAGGTTAGCTCAAGCCTCTGACTACAACATGTGCATACGCGATAAAATTGCAACGACGTTCCAAGGTACGTGCTTCATTTCTACGAATTCTAACGTATATCTATCAACAGCCATTCTCCGTAAACATCAATTAACTCTTTTCTGACTAATTTCTCCGGTCGTAGAAAAAAAATGAATCACACACCTCGTAAGTCTCTGTATCTTCGTTCTAACCTAGAAGATCGGCGATCCTCGTGTAATTCGAAAATCGAGTCGAAATATCACTGCAGAATATCTAACAGCGAAAACACATCAACCATGCCAAATCCTTCTCACTTTCTACATTCGTCGGACTTAAACGACGTATCGTAGAATATCTAAACGCCTCTTCCAATGAAACTTTTGCCTCAGCTGGCAATGATTATGGGTCAACGGTGACCCACGTGTCAAGCCACGTGAAAACTAGCCTTTCCAGCCGCCGTGAAAGGGTTAAAGAGGCTAAAGACCGACGCTGGCCAGGTGAAATGTCCCTCGCGGAGCTGCTCGGCGAGAGAAAATGAGCGAAGAGTGAGAGGCATTGATAGACGTCACCGACGACGATCGTTTCCAGCGAAACAGATCTTTTCACGATCTGTGGGATCGAGAGAGGATCGACGACGGTGTGATACCGAGCGCGTGTACCGTAGAGACGTGGCCAGGCAAAACGACGTCGAAGGTTTCTACTGTACGGTGAAGGCGATCGAGGTCGTTCGAGCAAGGTTATACACCATTTTCTCTCGTGCCGTTCGTTGATTCGCCGCTACGTACTGTATATACATATGTAAGTTACGTTCGTTGGTCGGAGTTTGATCGGTTCTCGAATTGCCGCGAAACGGCAGCAGGCCAGTTCACTTCGCTGCTAACTTCATTTGCGAGTCCTTGACGATTCACGCGGAATCTTCGAAGGCTAAAGGAGATCGTATTTCGAGGCTGCAACGATTCTTGACACCCGTTGGTTCCGGGATCCGGTGAAACTCGACGGTCTTGATAGGGGGACTTTGCGATAGATCATTTGAGGTCTTTGTTGGTCGATCAACTTCCGATCGTGTTCCTGTCAGTTTGTCTTCTTCAGATTTTTCTCGAGATTGGAGGAAGTAATCTGTGGTAGGTCTGACTGCGAATTTTTATTTATTATCAGTTGTCTGTGTGTTACATACATTGACACTAGAACTACCGGCCGGGTCAAAAATGACCCTTCAGCAACTTTCGAAAAAAAAAAAAGCGATTCTTCGACACTGGTTAGTCGTTTGTAACTTTCCGAATTTATTTTCTATTTGCATCGATACGAACCTAATTTTCCAATCACGTTTCACTTACATAAAAATTCACATTTGGAAAGTCGCTAACGAGCGATTCTGACCCGGCTGATGGTTCTAGTGTTAAGACTGAAGGACGATTGGGATCTGAAGACGTGAACCGATTTGTAAAATTTATTCGGGTTCATAATTATGCGATTAATGCAATTGGAGGGCATTAATGGAAAAAGGGCACACCAGGCTTATGTGCCCTTTATATATTAAGTGTACAAATTAATTCGGTGCCTTTTCTCACGAATTTTAATATTTATTTACAAAAGATCGAGCACAAGTTCAATGTTACAAAGAGTCCCCGTTATTTTGGATGACCTTCCATTTATCGAGTAACCGACGAATTCCGTTTCTGAAGAATTGTGGCTGTTTCGAGTTGATATAGTCGTCAAGGCTTCGTGAAAAAAGGCACCGAATTAATTTGCACACCTAATATATTATATACATTACAGGCTTGTGTGTTATGTACGTATATAATATATCAAGGACACATTACTTTTCTTTCAGATTTAATTGCACTACTTTTTATTAAGCAATACGACACTGAAAATTTTGAAATCGTTTTTCT